CACATAGCTAACTAGAGAAATACATTATCAACGATATACTATACCATACATATAGGCAGTAACATTAATTACGTGAATATCAGAATTATATAATTATATAATATTGTTGTGCAATTTAGAATCATAATTAATTTCTTATATTGAATTTTATCATTTTACACGGTTAATATACACAATGTACTAAAATATTTATTATGTTTGCAATGCTACTTCTACGTCTTCTTTTCGCCGACTGCATTCTCACGAATGTATTTAATACGGAATAAAATCGGAAAAGTATAAAGAATTCGAAAATTTATAAGATCATATAATAGAATTCAATGTGACAGTTAAAATCTACCAATATTAGAAAAAGCAGCAAATAACGGTGCTCCAGATGTTGTCGTAGGTGATGGTTGCTGATCGCCGATATTTTTCAATAGATTACCTTGCAAGAGGCTGTCAAGAGCTTTCTGAACTGTCGGATCATTTAGGAGAGGTGAAGGTGAAACTCCTGTTGTTGTCGATGATGTGACCGTGTTTGATGCTATTAACATAAATACAATAAACATTTATAAATTTTATAATTTCACACAAACTATAAAGTACTATATCTATACATACGTAGATAAATTTTCTGAAGTTTATCTTTGATATATTAAACAAAAAACCTACATTTGATCTTCACATTTAATTGCAAATAAAATTTTTTGCTCAGTACTGCAAAAATTTTTACTTGTTAAGTATTGTCATGACTCTTTAGAACCAAAATTTCAATTTGCAAACATTTACAAAAATTTCAAATTTAAGAGTGAGTGTAGATATTACTATAATATTAAAATTTATGATAAAGAGCATGTAATTTATCAAATCGTTCTTGCCAACGCAATTTTATGATCTGTAATTTTTACCTGTCCCCCAATTAGCTGATGATACCGAGGTTGGTGCTGAAGTCGGTGGTGGTACAGGACTGGGTTCCATTGTTGTTGATGCAGTTTTACTATTATTTAAAATATTTAATATTCTTGTTTGTAATTCGGCCTGTTTCGGATCATTGACTGGCGCGAGTGATGTTTTTACTGGTAAATCTTTTGCATCACCTAGTTCAACTTGTACTTGTTCCTCACGTTTCATATCAAGATATTTTATGACGCGATCATATTGCAAAACCGTAAGCTGATGATTATCAGCCAACATATTAAGAAGAACTTGAATAGCATCCGGATGACGTTCGCTTGCAAGAGGAGTATTCAAAGGAACTGAACGACCACCAGATTTATAATTTGCGAAATCTCGTGAAATCAAGTTTATAGCATCTTCAACAGGCATATTTCTGTGTTCTACAAATAATAATAATATAATATCAATGAATATCATATTTGCAAGTATACGCAATGAATTTTTTGTATTGACTCTACCTTGTGGCAAACCATGTAAAATATTCAATGTTAATGAATGATGCTCGTGGTTGATAGGTGTAACAACTACAGCATAGAGGCAGCCACGACTTGCTATATTTCCCAAAACACGACCTAAAGGAACATCTTCATTTGGAAACAGCAAATCTACCATTAAACCAATTTGCTTCAAACGTAATTCGATATCTTCTGCATATTTCCTATATATTTAATAAGCAAAATATTATGTGTTGCTCAAATAAAGTAAAATCCAAACTGTAATCTTGTAAAATCTTACGTTAATACTTTATTAACAACAATAATTTCACAGTCATTCTTCTCAGCTGCAATGGCAAGATAATCAGATGATCCACTGGTGTTTCTGTAATATAAACAGATATTTTACTATCTATACAAATTAATAAATTGGTAATAATCGTATCTCGGAAACTTTATTAGAATTGTCACTATTTGTACATTATCTAAAATAAGATGTATTATTTTTACAAGAATGATTTTACCCAAAATTAGCATTTGTCTCTCTAAGTCCAGGAGCTTTGAAATCATCATAACGATTTCCACTATCATTAAATGAATCTCTAGGAAAATTATTGTTACGTAGTCTATCTCCTTGTTTAAGATCCCAGTCTCTATTTATTTTATCTTCCATCCGATTATTTCTATTAATTGGACTTCGATCTCTGAAATTATTTATGTTTGGATTATTTGGAATGTTCTGATTATTTTTATTTCTGTTTTTTCCTCCTCTTGACCCACGAGGTCTATGAATACCGCCAAGGCCTATCCCTGTACCACTAGCATTTTGGTTTTGATTATTGCCTGGGTTAGCTTGATTTCGATTTGGAATTCCTCCAGGCCTATTCTGATTTCCCATTTGATTATTATTTCCAAATTGATTGTTAGTGCCTCTATTTTGATTGCCATGACCAAGCTGATCATTTCCACGATTTGGATTGTTTGTATTAAATTGATTATTTCCACGATTTTGCATGGGATTATTAAAATGATCATTTCCACTATTATTATTATTATTATTATTATTATTATTATGCTTCCCATTAAACTGATCATTATTCTTACTTCCAGCCTGATTTCCATCATCAAAATGATTATTTCCTCCACTCCTAGATGGAGCGTTCAAATCTTTTTGATTGTTACCAAAGATATTGTCATTCCCAAAGCTCTGATTCATCCCACCAGCATAATTTGGTTTATTCATACCAAATGATTCATTTGCATTATTGAATTGATTCATGGAATTAAATTGATTATTTAATCCACCCATTTGTTTTGTATTTGTATTTCCTGGATTACCACTAGATTGATTATCTTTCTTTGCTGGTCTAACATCTACAAATTAAAATTATAGAAAAAAACAATAAATTTGAATTATTTCTCTACATATATTCTACATATTTTTCAAGATAAAAAAAATTTAATAAAAAGAATCTTAATTAAATAAAAGAATAGATAATGACATAAGGAAAAGAAAAATGAAGCATATCTAGTTGCATCTGTGTAATATACCTATACGTCTGCCTTTAAACATTGCACCATTCTCCTTTTGAATAGCATTTTGTGCAGACTGCTCTTCTTCAAATTGTACAAATCCAAAACCTCTGTTTATTACTGATGCTATAATAGTGCCATATTTGGCGAAATGATCCTCCAACTCCAGCTTCGTAATATCGTCAGTTTGTAAATGACCTATAAATATACGGCTAGATGCGGTAGCAGGATCTTTTAAAAGCCTGGCGCTCATCCTGATTTCATCAAAAGATCCTTGTAGAGAATCAATAGATTGAAAGATCTAAGAAAAATCGAAACAGATACAATGTATAAAATTACAACTTATCGATCATTGTGTAACATCAGATATTATTTAATACATCAAAACATATTAAATTATGTAAAATCTGACACCAAACTAATTCCTACATGAGTTCCAAAGCATTTATTGAATTGATATAAGTCAATGGGACGAGAAATTATATATCACCACTGAAACTTACTTTATATAGCTTTTTCACAAAACTTAATAAGAATCTTTGTCAACCGTTATTTGTATGTTTTGGAAAATATTGTTGCGAATCGCGATTAACAACCACTTCACAACAGAGACATCTTGCCAAAACGAATCAATGGTACCAATTTTTAGTTACAAAACAAGAGAAATTTAGGAAATTTTTCATAGTGCATTTTCACGAGCCGCTCAAGGTGCGATTACATGTAGTACGATAAAGCAGGGGATCGATTCTGTATCTTCAAACAAGGTGAAAATTATAAAAGTGAACAAATTTATGAGATGTTGATCAATGAAATTATTAGTATTATAGTAAATTCGCTCACTTTTGTAATTTTCATTTCGTTTCAAGATATAGAATCAATCCCCAGTACGGGAATCCGTTTGACTCTAGTGACAAATAAATTTTAATATGAATTTTTAAAAATATATTAACTTATTTCTATGCACATTTCATCAACATTCTTATTTTTCAACGAATTTACTTAATAATAGCATTTAAATCAATTAATTCTATTAAAAAGTTCTTAGAATGTGAATTTCTCACTGGCCCGTGCCGCTTACCGCATTATATGTAAGGGTGGAGTTTCATGAAGCGTTTTTGCCGCGTATCGCATAATTGTATAACCAATAATCAGTAAATGCGAAACCAGTGAATCGTATCTGATTGGTTACGCGGTTACGTGATACGCGGTAAATACATCTCGTAAAACTTAAGGTTGCGATTATATGGAGCGCGGTACGCAGTACAGTAACTAATAGTAACCAACTAGGAAATCGCGTATCATGTACCGCTTATTTCTTTCACTGATATTATATGGAGCGCGGTTTGCGGATAAGCTAATAACAATTATATATGTTATTCAAATTATATATGCTATATACATTGCTATGTACTTTTTAAT